TGAGCTCGCCGCAGCCCCGCCTGGCCCCGCTGCCGCTGCCGCGGCCGAAGCCCGGTCAGCAATCCTGGCCGTGACCCTCCGCTGACCTGCCTGGGCGGTGGCGCCGGGTGCCGGTTGCTGATCTCGATTCCACCGTGGGCCCCAGCTGGTCCGCTCCTTCGGCGGCTTCAACGTGGCCCACAGCAGCAACTTCTCGCCGGGGCGCACCGCCTCCTCGATCGTCGTCGAGAGGCGGCCCATGCGCGCCTGCTGTGTCCTCGTCCTCCGTGTACTCGAAGAGGTATAGCTGATCTGCGTCGAAGAAGCCTCCGGGCAGTGCATCCGAGACCCGCAGCCTTGCCTTGACCTCTCCTGCCTCGAACGGGCCCCCCTTGAGCAGCACGCACTGGTCGCCCTGCTGCGGGGCGAAGACCCGCGCCGGGCTTGCTCGTGATGCCTCGTCCTCAGCTTCCCTCGCCTTCTTCTGGCGGCGGTTCTCCTCCTCCTCCTCCTCCTCCTCTTCGGGGCTCTCATCCCCGTCGCCGTCATCATCACCACCTCCGCCAGGTCCGCCTCCTCCACGAGCGGTAGCTTCACGCGCCTCACGCTCGCGCGCTTTGTTGCGCTTCCAGCCTCCTCGCTTGCCGCCCCGCTTGCCGCCCCGTTTCTCGTCGCCTCCACGCGCGATCATGGTCGGCTCGCCGCCGGTCTCCACCTTCAACTCGTCCTCGCCTTGGCGTTCGCCCTTTGAGCTCCCGCTGTCCTCCTCCGCCGCGTCTCTCTCCGGGTAGCCGTCCTTTGAACGACCGCCTCCACGGGGGCCCTTTGAGCCCTCGTCAATCTTGACCTCCATTGAGCTTCTCCATTTCGGGTGGGGTAGGCAGCCCGAGACGTTGCAGCCGCTGCGAGGGGCCTCCAGCCAGCTGGTGTCGTGATTGCAACTGCATCCGCTCCGATCCTCCTCTGTGCGGCTGGTGATGGTGCTCCTCCTCAGGCTGCCGCACCTCTCGCCGTGCTCGCTGATGGTCACGTCCTCGGTCCCAGCGCCCTCCGCCGCACAGGCCGAAGGCCGAAAAGAAGGGGGGGGTCTTGTTCCAGGGCGTCAGAACGCCCGGCCCGCGCCACCTTGCTCTCCAACCTCTCCTCCAAAGCCCGCGCCTCGGCGTCCATCGCCGCAATCTGCTGTTCCAGCTTCTCGCGGGCGGTGCCGGCAGCTGCTGCTTTCAGCGCGGCTGCCCAGGCGGCGCACAGCCGCGGCGCATACTGCCCCGCGTGCATTGTCCTCCGCATGCCCCGCAGTCCCAGCCCGAAGCCGGCGCTTCCCAGTTTACTGCAGCGCTGAGCTGGGGGGTGCCGCTGGGGGCGCGCCCTCCACCTCCCAGGTTGGGCGGGGCTTGCGTGTTGATGGTGAAGCGGAGCTCGCCCTCGGGGGTCTTCCCGAAGTAGAGGGCCCACTGGTTCTCAGGCAGAGCGGAGTAGTGCCGCTTGGTGCGGAAGTCGATCCTCGCCCAGTGGAAATTGTCCGGGGCGGCCCGCGCGATGCGCTGGTTCACGCGGAGCAGCCTGTCGTCCGGGGGCAGTTTGACGGTGGCGCCGTCTTCGTCAAAGCCGTAGCACCCGCTAGCCTCACCCAACCGGGTGCTGAGGTTGATCAGCTCGCTTGCCTCGGTCTTGCTGAGCCGCATGCGCGTGTCGAGGTTGTAGGCTTCCACTTGGGCGTCCGTCAGGTCGTATGGTAAGCCGCCCTACACCGTGCGGTGCGCGTGCTTGCCTGTGCACCTCCTGGCCAGGATCGGGGCGTAGGGGTAGAGCCCGAGCGATGCCAGCCACCAGGTTCGCTTCTGATACCGATGCTGGGGCTCGTCCGGAGGTGCGAGTCCCCACTCGCACATGTCTATGGCGAGGACTCGGGCTCCAGTCGCGTGGACCAGAGCCCTCATGCAGGGGCGATCCCAAAGCTTGGGGTGCCGGCCATCCCGCGCTGAGGACTCGATGAGGAACTCACGTCCTGCCTCGTAGCCCCGCTTCGCCCCTATGCACGCGAACTCCCCGAACACGTTGCCGTCGATCTCGACTTGGCGCTCTCCAGTCCCATCCGGGCACTCGAAGGTTCTCGTCCCTCCTGCTGCCAACTGCCAGGGGCAATGGCTCACGCAGGGTGGAGCGAACTGCAGCGCGTTGGCCTCGTCGGGGCCCGGAGGCGCACTGAACTCTTGGTACAGGCGCTCGCGCACCAGCGGGTCGCGGATGTCGAACTGCGGCCTGGGGTCTTTGCCGCTGGTGGCGACGCCCTGGTGGCCATGCCGCGTTGGTGGCGATGCCCGCGTTCTTCATAGCCTGCGTCCAGCGCCCTGTGCCGGCGAAAGTCTCCCGTGTCCTGAGCCCCCACGCGAACGTGGGTCGCGAGCGCAAAGGCTCCAAGTCCCTGAAGTCCGGGCAGGCCACCGCGGCGGGAAGCTCGACCACGGCGGGTGCACCGCCGGCGGCTCTCCCACGTTGCTGTTGCTGCGCGGCGAGGGCCCTGCAGTGCTGGCACGGTGGAGGCTTGCTGGCCACCGCTGGGCTGCCATCCTCCTCGGAGGCAAGGTGTGTGTTCCCAGCCCATGGTGGGGAGCTCCTTGAGGTCCTTCCCGCTCGTGGCCCAGGTGCGGATCAGCTCGTCTGCCACTCGCCGACCCTCAGCGCCGGGCGGGGGATGAAGAACACGCATATGCCCGCGATGGATGATCACGTGGCACTCTTGCTTGGGTTCTCCCGCTGGGAGGACTGTGTCAATATCCAAATGACCCCAATGATCCGCCCGCCATACTCTGAGTACCACCTCCTCCAACGCTTCGCACGGGAAGAGGGCGACGCACCTGGTGTCTTCGTCGTGGTCGCGATGCACCGCAACATGGATGTGCATCCGGACCTCGGCTTCCTGGAAGATATCCAAGGTGGGGCGTCGGCAAGGCCCGCAGCAGCGTCGGTAGCCTTCTCCAGGAGGTCTCTGCGGATCTCAAGGGCCAGGTCTTTGACTTGCTGGGCGTCGGGTGGTGCTTCGAGCTGCACCCAGAGCTTGGCTGCCGCCAGGTGGAGTGGGAGGCGCTGACGCTCCTCCGAAAAACCGGCGGGCACGTGCAGACGCTTCGCGACACGCTCGTCGAGGGGCAGCTGGTCCTGATAGTCAAGGTAGTGCCAAGTCTGGCCCTGCACTGTGACGGAGCCCTGTCGCACCGACTTCTCAGCATTCCACCGCACTGGTGTTATGATGACGTCTGGGTCAGCCCCCAGGTTGCCAGCCTTCGCCCCGATGCGGTCCAGGAGCTCGCTAGCCTCGGCAGCCAGGGTGGGCCCGCCGTGGCGCGTCGCCTCAAGGAGTACCTGTTCGACCGAGAGCTCCTCCTCGCGCCCGCGGGCGCAGGCAAGGCGAGCCAGGACATGCGACCGCATGTAGTCGCTGGCGTGGCTCACGGAGTCGAGCACCCCGCTCTCTTGGACGGCCTCGAGCAGCTTTCGCTGGGTCAAGGCTCCCTCGTCCGTGCAGACGCTCGTCCGAACCAGGGCTGGGCTGTCGGCGCCCGGGTCCTCCAACCAGGTAGCGTCGGGTCCCTGGGCGGCCTCGCGGAGCTCCGACTCGAGCTCGGTGCACTGAACCTCGGCGTACTCGTTGGGCGGCGCCCAGCTTGTCTTGGTAGGCTGGCTCTCCGCTGCCCCCGCACATGCAGCCCGTTTGCCGTCAGCTTCGGTCTTAGCTTGGGCCCGCAGCTGCGCGATCCGCCCATTGACCGAAGCTGGGTCGATCTTGGCGGCGTTGCGGAGCCCACCTCGCCTGAGCAGCTGACGCTGCACGGTCCAGTGCACGTCCTTCAGGCCCTTGATGAGCTCATGTGAATGCGAGCACCCTTGAGCGCCCTTCCTGCAGCCTATCCAGGTCGAGTTGTCCCAGCAGAGCGGCTTGCCCTGCTTGTCGCAGGGCGCGTGCCGGACAGAGAGCTTGATCTCCTGTGCGTTCAGCCGCTTGCCCGCAGGGTAGGCGGCGCGCGTGGAGTTGGCCTTCGGGTGGGCCTTGGCCTTGGGCTTCTTCTTGGGGGTGGCTCCTGCTCGCTGTTCCTGTCGCTCCGCAGCTGGTTCGTCTCTCTCTCCTCCGACCTCTCCGGCTTTGCCCGGGGCGCCGCGCGCCCCATGCATCGAGTCGTTGAGGGCGGTCTGGAGGTAGCGCTGCTGCCGAGGACGTACGACTTCCTGGTAGTAGCCCGTGGGGGATTCGAGGTCGAAGACATTGGGGAAGACGAACGCCGGGCGTCCGTCCACCCTGGGAGCGAAAGCCACCATCTTGAGATCCTCCTTCCTGGGGTTGTCTGTCTGCAACACGCGTAGGAGGCCTCGCTTCTTCTCTCGAAGTCGTTCACACCAGGTCGCCCGCAGCTCCTCCCACAGCTCGTAGACGAACTTGGGCGGGAAAGCGTGGTCGTCCTTCTCGCACTCCCGCGCGAGGGTCTCCAGGCAGTCCAGGCGCTCTTTGATGTGCTCTCGTCCGAAGACGAGCCCGCAGGACTTGGTCATGTTCTGGGCCTGCCGCTTCCACTGGTCAAAGACCACGGGGGCCCTTGGCCTGGGTTCCAGCTTAGTGTCGTGCGGTGCGCTGTACTTGTCGAACGCGACCGTCTTGCACGTCGGGAAGTCCGCCACGGAGGCCGACCACGGAGCCAAGTTGTCCAAGCTGCTGCCGCCGAAGCTGAGCGAGGCGCAGGCCATCGCGATCCCGTTGGACACTGTCGTAGGCGTCTCGACGGCGAGCATCAAGGCCTTGTTCTGCTCACAGGTCCGGCGCAGAGCAAAGAACAGCTCGCGCCCAAGGACCTCGTCGCAGACCTCCGCTGTCAGCTGGCCACACCCGCGCGCCAAGTAGACGTCCAACTCCTCTGCTCTCCCCAGTTCTGCCACCGTCCCTCGCTGGGCTGCCTTGTCACCCTGGCGGGCACTGGCGACCCCTTCCAAGGCGTGGAGCAACCGCGCGGTGTTCGCGTCCAGGGGTGCTCCGGGGTGCGCGAGGCCGAACGGGTCGCTGCCTCCGCCCTCCTCCGGGGCTCCTGCGGCATAGCGCGCTGGAGCTGCGGTCAGACCTGGGGGTAGGCCCAAGTCGCTGACGTGCTGGTCGTAGCGGAACAGGGCCCCGATGTTCGGGGCCTGTGGGCGGACGACCGGGGCCAGCCCAGCCGCGGTAGCTGGGAGGCCGGCGTCCCGCGGCCCGAAGGCGAAGGCAGGCGTGGCTGCTGCTGGCGAGAGAGGTGGCCGCGCTTCGAACAGGGGCGCGCTGTCGGCCTGGATGGCTGGCGGCCCCTGCGAGCGGTGGCGCTCGGGCGGGAGCCTGAGGAGACCCTGAAGGCTGCTCGGCGCCGCCTCTGAAGGTCTGAGGTCGTGAGGGTACCTGCTGGAGTGCCTCCCAACTACCGATGTGCCCATCGAGCCGCGCGAGCTCCTCTGGCTCGGTCGTCTGCTGCTTGAGGTGCTGGGCGTAGCGGACAAGGCTAGCGAGCACTTGCTGGGCCTCCTCGTCGAAGCCGGCGGCCGCGCTCTGCACCGCCGCCGCGTCGCTCGACCCGCGAGCCTTCTCTTCCAAGTAGCATGCCATCATGTCCCCGCCGTCGTCCCCTTGATGGCTTTCTCCTAATACTGGTGCCTCAGAGCTCGCTGCCCGCCCGCCCTCGGCGGACGGGGGGCGTGAGCCACGGCGCGTGGGCCCAGCTGGTGGCCTGGGCGAGCTGCTGCGGTCAAGCCGCTGCCAGTCGCTGCGCAGCTTAGCGTCAGCCTCTGTAGCTCTCGCTTCGAAGCTCGGACTGGGCGCCGCGCCTCCCCTGGGGTGCCACTTGACCAAGCTGGCCACCTTCTCACGGAGCAGCCGCCAGCGAGCCTCGCTGAGCGGCCTGGCTCGCCCGCCCACGGGGAGCCCGTGCCACGCCGCCAGCTTATGCCAGACTTTCTCGGGTACGTTGGTCGCCGAGACGCTGATGCCGAGCTCCTCGCAGCCCAGGGGCGCGTGGTGGAGCATCTCCTCGATGAACCCCGCTGGCAGACGCCTTGAGGGCCCTGGGGCAGGCGCGCGGATGACGCCGTCAGGCTTCACGAGAAAACGGATGGTTGCGCCAGTCGGGTCTTCCACCTCGAGAGCCATTGCGCCGTCGAGGTAGTCAGCCGCTGCGCTGGCCGCGGCGGCGTCGGCCGCCCTCCCTCTGAAAATCATCCACTGCGCTCCTTCTGGCCACTGTACCCTCGCCCGAACGATGAAGTATCGCCAGAGGGGCATGGGCGGCGGCGTGGGCGGCTCGGGGAACTCCCGAACCGGCGGCGCCTCGAAGCGCACGCTCGGTGGCCCAGCCGGCGCAGGGACGGGGTCGCCCGGGCTGGTGGGCGCCTCTGGAGCAGAGACCGCCGGAGTGGAGCGCTCTGGTGTGCGACTCCGGGCTGGTGCCGCGGCGGCACGCTCAGGCGCGCGGCTCCGCGGAGCAGGGCTCCGCCGGGCTCCACGCCGCAGGCCCGCGAGGAACCCGACGCCCGTGGGGTTGTCGTAGAGCGCTTTGGCGGCGTCGCCTCCGAGGTGCTGCAGGCAGAGTGGGACCCCCGAGGCCATGCCCACCGCCTCGCGGAAGCACGTCACCTGGGAGCACTTCTCGCCATGGCGCAGGACCATGTAGATCTGCCTGCGATGCTCGCAAAGGCAGGCTGTCGCGTTCCCCTCGCTGGGGGGTGTGCGGTCCGAAGCTCGGCCATCCTCCACCAACAGCACGGTCGGATCGCCGCGTGCGTCGTCTCGACAGCCCTCGGGCGCCAGCGGGCGCATCTTGCCCTTGATCATGAGCCCCACCTTCACCGCCTCGCAGGGGTTGTCCTCGGCGTCCACCTCGGACTCGGACTCCTGGTCAAGCAACCTTGCCACAGATCCCTTCATGCCAGGCTCCGCGTCGCCAGTGACGGCGGCGTCGCCGGCGGCAGACGCACGCCCCGCAGCACGAAAGCCATGGGAGGACGTACAGCAGCAGCTTGTAGACGAGGCCCAACCACCTCCAGAGCCAGACGAAGATCCGGCAAGGCGTGAACTTTGAATAGTCGCCGAGGTCCACGATAGCTTCGTTGTCAAGGGCGGCATACTCCTTGCAGTGCAGCTCGTTCTCTCGCCCCTTGCATCCCGTACAGCTGGTGGAGCGACACAGGTGGAGCCAGCGCGGATCGCGCTGCTCCAGCTCGCGCCTGAAGCCCTTGTCGCTAGCGCCCTTCACAGAATCATACTCAACCCACAATCCCTGGCGATTGATGCGCTCCGGGGACTTCATGTTGAGCTTGAGTCGCGCGACCCTGTAGTCGACCCTGATCAGGAGGTCGTTCTGGCCGCGCTTGGAGCTCCTGCCCTCCTTGATGCTCTTGCGGTACCAGTCGGTCGTCGGATCTGCACCCACGGCTGGGCCGTGCCACACCACGTCGGTGAGGGGCGGCGCCGCCGGCGGGACCAGCTTGTCAAGCGTAGCCTCGCCAGGCGTCTTGCGCCTCGGGCAGGGGCAGCACGCCAGCACCAGGCCGCGTGTCCAGGCTGCCCAGCTGCAGGGTGCGAAGAGTGTCCTCAGGCTGTGGGCCAGGAGCGCGACCACGCCGGTGCCGAAGAGGATCGCCACGAGCCCGGCAATCAACGGCCACGCGGAGCCGAACAGGTAGAGGCCCACCTGGTCGGCCATGTACAGCACCCAGCCGCCGTCGGAGCTCAGCCAACCTCCTGCCTCGCGAGTCGAGAAGGCCGACCTGAAGCCCCCCACAGCCCGGAAGGTGCCCCCGCCCATCCCCTCGGCAAACCAGTGCGTGCGGTTGCCGATGTTTTCCAGCTGGGTCCCCGTCGGAGGGGTCGGGGGGGGTGTGGGTCGGGCCCTGGGGGGTGGGTCGGCCGGCGGCGCAGAGCGCGCGCGCGGCGGCCCCCCTCCACCGCTCCCTGCCGGAGCGGCACGCCCGCTGGCGGAGTGAACCCCGACCGGCAGCGCGTCCGCGTGCGCGGAGGAGCCCATGGGCCCGTCGAGCCAGAACCCCTTCATGTCCACGCTCGCCTCGTCGTCATAGTAGACCTCGAGGTCGGGGGCCGCCTGCCCGTGCACGAGCTCAGCGCTGGCCACCATCCCCACGAGGATGACGAGTGGAGCTGCGGCCCAACCAAGGCGCCTGCCGGCGAGCGGCGGCGCCGGGGCCCCGGGGCAGCTCCTCCAGGCGGGCCCCGGCGCGCGTGCGCGCTTCGCCGCCCTCGCCTGGTCCTGAGCGGGCGCCGGCGCTGATGTGCGCCCGGCCGCCCGCTCGGCGGCGGCGGGCAGCGGCCATGTCACGGCGGCCGCCCTTCCGCCCCCGGGTGCTCCGCGGCTAGCGTGAGCCGGCGCCGCTCGGCACCCGGGCTTTCCGCCGCTGCGCAGCTGCGCGCCCTCGGGCAGCAGTGCTGCCGCCCCCTGGCCGCGCGGCGCCAGGCGCGGCCCCGTTCGGCCGCGGGCGCCCCCCTTCGGTCCCGGTCCCGGCCCCGAAGGTCTTCCGGCCCCGGTCCCGGGGCCCGGCCTTAGGCCACTTTAGGCCGACCCCCAGCTTGGCCTTGAAAAGGCTTGAGCCGCCAAGCGGCGGCGAAGAGAGAGGGGGCGAGAAAAGGCAAGCAAAGAGGCAAGGGCAGGAGCAAGGGGGCCGCAAGTGGAAGCCCGCGCCAGTTCTGGAAGCGGGGAGATCCATCAGTTTTACCAAACATCCTAGAGGGGCGTGGCCTCCTGATCAGGAGGGTCCCTCGCCAGCAGGGGCAGGCGCTGAAACGCGGCCCTCGGGGAAAGCGCGCCCGCGCGCCCCTCGCGAGGCTGCTCCCGCGGCCGCAAGGGGCGCTTGGGCGCGAGCCTCGGGTGGCGGGGGCCCGTGCGTCCAGCGCGAGGCCCCTCCCCCGCGTGGCCGGGCGCCCCAGCCGTGCACCCCGGGGCCAGAGGGGCCGCGGCGGGGGCGGGGAGGTCTCCAGCCCCCCCGCCGTTCGGGGCCTCAGCGGTCGCATCCCCGCCGCCCGGCGGCGGGCAGGATGCGGGGGGCGCGCGGTGAACGAACCCGCGTGCAAGGCCCCCCCCGGCTTTGGCCTGCCTGGCGGGCAGGCGCCCGCGGAATTGGGCGCTGGGGGGGTTCTGGAGCCGGTTGGCTGGGGCCGAGGTGGAGCTGGGAGTTAGGGTCCGCGGCCCTCCTGCCTCCCGCCTGGCTGGACAAAGCCGGGGCGGTGGACCGATGGGGAAGTCATTCGCGGCGGGGGGTGAGAATCCCGACTGACCGACGCCTTAGCCTTCAGCGTAGGGGGCAGGGGGGAGGGGCTCGTCTCGCTCCCAAATGTAACCGGTAGGGTACGCGGCGACATGGGGCATTGCGCTCGCGACGCGCTGGCGGCGTTCTAGGACCTTCGGGCCGCGGCGCCCGCCCCGGCGCCAAGAGGGCGCGCCGACTCGGTGAGACCGGGCCGTTGTTGGAAACCTTCCTGGCCTGCGCGGTGACGTGGGACATCCCGGCCGCGGGAGGGCCGGGGGCGCCGTGTGGGCGCGCTGGAGAAGACGGCCGGGGTCCCCTGGGCAGCCGGCAGGTTGGCGGCCGGGAGGTGCGCCCCGCGACCCCTCCGACGAGAGCTTAGGGCTCGCCGGCGGGGCTGTCCAAGGAGCGGGCGCACCCGGGGCCGCAGGGGCCCCGGGGCACCGCCTCCCGGCCGCCCGCCGAGGAGTGGGGGGGCTCCCAGGCCGCGCCTGCGGAGCGACGTGAGCAGGAGCAGGAAAGATCATAATTGGGAGGGTCTCGAGGGCGGCCGGGCCCGGCGAGGGGCGGCCCGGGCAGCTCTGGCCGCGGGGCCCGCGACCGCAGGGGGGCCCTGGGCAAGGCAAGGACACCCCATTCCTGGGGGCAGGCAGGCGGACGAGCTGCGGCACGCCGGGAGGAGAGAGGGCCCAGACCACCCAGCAGAGGGGGCCGGTGTCTCAGGAGCGCCAGCCGCTAACGCTCTCGGTGGGATCCTGGCGCCCCCCCCCGCGGAGGGTCGAGCAGGGGGCAAGACGGGGCCCCGGGCCCGCCTGGGCGGGCTGGTTGGCGAGCGCGATGAACGCTACACGCTGGTGGTAAGCCAGTGGGCCAGAGGGTCAGAGCCGCGCGTCTGCGGGGTCCTGGTCCTAAGCGCGACGAGACCACGGGGGCTTCCCCTCGCCCCAGCGCCCGGGCTGGGCGCCGCCCGCCGCGGCCAAGGTCACCTTGAAGTTTTTGCTGGCGCGGGGCCAGCTGGGGGGGGTGACTTCTGGGTGGGAAGAGGAGAGAGTGGCCTGCGCGCTGGCGCTGAGCCGGCTCGGATAAAGAAGCGGGGCCACCCCGGGGGGGGCGAGCGCAGGGGGGTGGCGCTGCGTTCCGCGCGCCGGCGGACCTGGGCAGCGACTCGGGCGGCGCGGGTCCGAGCGGGCGCACTCGCCGCGCTCGGAGACCAGGCCCCCCCCCGCCAGAGGCGAGTGACGATCGGGATGATGGGCGCCCCTGCGGCCTAGCATTCATGCGCAACTGGGTGCCGCAAGGGCCAGTCGTCCGTTGGGAGGTGTCCGAGGGCGCTATGGGCGCTATCCGCGTGGGGGATGACTTCGGCCCCGACGCGGAAGTCCCATCCGAGCGCCCGCTGGGATATTCGGAGCGGGATATGGGGCGGTGTCATTGGAAGGCGCCCCACCCTGGATTAACTGGCTGCGAGCGCAGGCGCTCGCGGGCGACTCCGTGCAGGGGGGGGGGGCGGCAGATCGGGCGGGCCACTCCCCTGGCCCGGGAGGGGGCTGCACGGGGTGAGGGCTTTGGGATTTGCTGCCGCCCCGCAGGCGGTGCTCGTTGTGGATTGGCAAAACGGGATTTGTTTCAAGGCAAGGATGGCGCGGGGGCGCCAGGGAAACCCTTGGGCAGGTTTAAGTTGAGCTTGGATCGAGCTGGATCGAGCCCCGCTTTGCGGGCGCGCCCGCCGGATGGGCGGCGCGCCTGCGCGCGCCCATGGAATGCGGAGTTCAGCTCCGCGGAATGCCATGAGAGTGAGCTTCAGGTGGAGTTAGCTTGCTTGGAATGGGTGGAGTGGAGGGCCCTTGAGGGCCATGCGGGCGGGGGTCCATGGCGGACTCTTTCCAGTGACCGCCACGAAAAGGGGCGGGCCTCCCCCTCTCCTCCAGTAGTGAGTGGGCTGTCGGGCAGGAATTGTTTTTGTTATGGCTTGAGCGGCTGCAGTTGCCCTTTATCCTCCCGCCCACCTTGCAGGTTTTCCCCCGCGGGCAGGATTAACGATCATTTTGGCCACTTGTGCATTCCCCATGGCCTCCAAGACTGTCGGAGAGAGCGCCAACATCACCATTGCCACGGTGCGGCGCTGTAGAGGCAGGAACACGCGGTACCAGTACGGTTAGCTGGGCCCGGCTATTGCCGCCCGTACCGGTGTGGCCGGTATGGTAGCAGGTCTCTGCGATGCCGGTGCGGTGCGGTGTTGGGATTGCGCGGTATTGGTATGCTACCGGGACCACGGCCGGCACCGGTACGGTACGGAGGCAGGACCTTGCGTTCCTCATTGGCAGTTTTTGGTACGAATTCCGCATGGACGGCCGCGCGTGGCTTCACAAGATACGTGTATATATATGTATATATATATGTATAGACATGTATGTCTGCATGTTCGTATGTGTGTATGCAAGTATACATGCATGCATGCATGCATGTATGTATGTATGTGTGTGTATGTATGTATGTATGTATGTATGCATGCATGCATGCATGCATGCATGCATGCATGCATGCATGTATGTATGTATGTATGTATGTATGTATGTATGTATGTATGTCTGTATGTGTATATATTCACATATACACACATATATGTATACATACATACAGATCAAAGCTGTGCACAGGTATGTTCGTTTAGATGTTTCTACACACCTCGTGCTTCTTTTCTTGTTTTGCCCTTCTTTTCTCGGCGCCAGCGAAGCCCGAGGCGGCGACCACGTTGGAGCGTCAGCGAGCGGAGCGCGAGGCGCTCACAGCCGAGGCTGCCGCGCCGCGCGCCCCGCACGCCGTCGCCTTCGCTGGCCCATTGGAGCCGCTCGGCGGCCCGCGGAGGCCTTCGGCGGCCTTCGGCGGCCTTCGGACACCCTTGAAGGTTTTCGGAGGCCTTCGGCGGCCCTCCTCCTGCTCCCCTCGTCCTCCCGTCCCGGTCGCTTTGTTTTGGGGTCCAACTTGTCGCCAGCGCCCAGGTGGTCTTTGGCCGCCCCCCCCCTGGGCGCCGAGAGAAAGACTCTCCCGAGGGGCGCGCCGCCGTGCGCATCCCCGGGGGGTTCCGCCAGCCTTTTTTGTCCCGCGGGCCTCGGAAGGGATCGGTCCGCCTCGACACGGCACGCCTGGAGACGGGTTGGGCATTTTTTGGTTGCCATCTTTTCACAACGCCAAACGTCTGGGGATGGCCGACCTTCCGTGCTCTCGGAGGGCCCAAACCCCTGCGAGCCAGAGGTTTGGCGTTCGGCTCGGGACTTTGTCCCTTACCTCTCTCAGAAGTGTCCGGACCCGCCACTTGGGCACCCTTGTGTGCGACAGATTATTGATCCGTCGACCGCGTGTGCACAGCAGGAGGCATGCGGCAGCCATTGCGGCCTGGAGCCGAGGCCTGCTTTTGGCCGCTGCCAGGTGTGTGGCCCGCCCAAGGTCAGACGATCTTGCCAAGGCCTCCGAGGCAGAATTCTCGCGGCCTCTGCTGCCCGTTGGCGCGCGCGCGTGCTATCGGGCAGCGGATACCACCGCCTTGCCAGCGCCGTCCGAACGTTCATTCTCTTCCTTGTCCCAAATTGCCACTCACCATCATCACAAACGTACAAAACGTGATTTGGCTGGGGTAACGCGCAGCCTCGATGCACAGTGCGGCCGCGGAGCTCTGGCCCGCGCCGCCATGGACGATTTCGTGAACATCGGCAGCCCATGACAGCTCAGCTATATGGAACACATTTGCCCTCCGTGTGCTTTCGTCTGTGGTGTGATTTATCGAGTTGCCCGTGATTTTCGCGAAAGTCACGCGACCACCACGCAAGGAACGGCCGCGTAACGGCCTTCACTCTCGCGATGGCCATCACCTGGCGCCCCT